ACAACAATTTGCAGGCCAACGCTGATAGCCTGCGGTCGACGTTGCGTGTCGCCGCTGCCGGCCTTGATCCTACCGGCCGCCTTCTCCCAGGTGTCCCGCTCGGCGCGGGCCTTGGTAAGGGCCTCCTTGTACTCGGCGAGCTCCGCCGCGCCGTTGTTGACGGTCGCCCGCAGGCTATCAGCGTTGGCCTGCAAATTGTTGTATCGGCTGTTCTGTGTGCCGACCACATTTTCAATGATCTTGAGGAACTCTCGGCCGGTCGCGTCCTTCTGCATAGTCTCAACAATGCCAGCGGTGGTCCGCGCGACGCAGCTGCAAGTCGCTCTCGTAGCGCTTACTGCTGCACACGCGAACTGGAGGTGCAACCAACTATCACGGTTAGAATCACCGTGGTAGGGGCAAGCTGGTATATTGTGTGGTTGCACGAGGAACCGAATGTGGGAGGCGAGGCGCGCTCAGGGAAAACCCTGTGGCTGCGCACAGACCAGCGCAGAGCCACGTACAGCCCTACCACCAGAACCCCCACCTCGGGGCTCAGCCGTGCAACCCTAACCCTTACAAGGAACGGGCTGTGCCCGTGACACAAATGCTGCTGATGGGTTTCGTACCTAATCCCCCACTCCTGAACTCCCTTATTTATATTATTATTCATACTCCGCTATGCCCTAGGGCGTGCCAGACCCTCTGCTATTTAGTGTACAGGAAAACCGTGCCCTCCCGGGCCGGGTGAAAAACCCATACCAACAATCAAGGAGCGATGCGTTTTAGTGAGCCTACATATACAAAGAGAGGAGGCCTCCTGGCCTCCGAACGGGGGCGCTTCAGGCCGCCGTTTCCAGCTCGAGCCTCCTGGCTAAGCTGTACATCGGCAGCTTCCCCCGAGTCCATCAGCCAGTCGAGAACTCTCCTCGCGAGCCGTGCAGTTGTGGGATTGATACCGTGTAGAACAGAGTAAAAGTCCCGTCGTGTCCGAATTCCAGTTCTCTCCCATCTTCTAGTCAACGGTGGGGCCAAACACCACACTACCAGGTGTTCGGTAAAAAAAGATATAGTTAACTAGTTAATCAAAAGACTGTTATCATCACCCTACAAATTTCGAGGGATAAGAAACGTCCACCAAGAAGTCGAGATCTAGTTTTTCGACATTCGCAGACCCGCCTCCATGAACCCATTTATTGAGGACCATGCCGGTACACCAATCCGTTGCCCGGGGCGGAACCAAAGAAGGCCCCTCATCGATAGCCGCGGTGTTCCATTTGTTGTCGGCCAGAGTCCTACAAGCGCCCAGCGCGCACCACTTAGTCCCACCCACGGCCCATCCAGCGGGCCGGCGACCATCCGCTGGATGCCACCGCGCCCGAATGTGGTAGTCGGTGTAGCAATGCTTGCACGACAGTATGGGGCCTACGAAGTCTCCAGAACCGCCTGTTTCGTTCTTGCACAGCTTTGTTTTGTCGATGCGAGAGTACCTCGATATGTGGCGACATATGGGTGGCATTATGTCATTGCCCCCTGGCTTGTTGAGATAAGCACGGAGAGCGTTTTCGTCGGCTTCCTTGTGGTATAAAACCGAGTTCTCCCGCACGTATAACTCGCCGTCGATGATCCGAAGACGCCGGGACTCCTCGATCATAATGTCGCTAGTCTTTTGCCCTGGGAGTGCCGCGGCGGGTCTGTGGCGAGTGAAAGAGAGAGCATCCGGGCTGGGACCGTGTGCTTCTCCGTATAAATGCCGGTTTATGATGAGCCGGGCCGTCTCGAGTTTGATGCCTTGGGCGTTCCCCAGAGAAGCGGGGTCCTCCGAAAGTTTTCGGTATCGGCACCGTCCGTCGTAGCTGATAATCACGCGCGTCGGGTACCGGCCTCCGTACCCGGCCATGGGACGAACTTCCCCGCAACACCAGGTGTGCAGCTTTCTGCAAAGCGTACAGAAATAGAGATTGGGGGTGTCTTTCTCGAGCCAGAGTTGCAGTATTTCCCGGTTGATATTCCGCTTAACTTTGAAGTGGCGATAGAATAATCGGCAGGTCAGCGCGAGGGCCGTCCTAGATTCGCCAGGTGTCAGGTAAGCCCAGATCATGTGGAAGACTTCCAAGGGTAAAGAGAAGACGCATGTGTCTTGCGAGGGCGTGGCCTTGGTGAGAACGGTAGTATTCCCCCTGGGTGCAATCCTTGTGAGTTTAGTGCCGGGGACATGCAGTTGGCATTCGGGCATTTCCAAATCCGGGCGTGGTTGGGGTTCGTCTGAAGAGGCATCTTCGCTCGGAGCCTCTTTCTTCAAGGTATCAACGGCGATGGGAGATTGTTCATCTGGCATGTCGTCATGAGAAGAAAGAAAAGATACTTCTTTTGCCCCTTCTATCGTGGATGCGGTTTGGCGGGATTGCTGCCATTTTCTCGCCGGCAAGCAGAACAAGCTGCGAATAAAGGACGTGAGTCGGGTCATTTTGAGTCAGATGCTGAAGCGGAAGAAGAGAGGGTGTGGTAGCAGGAGTTGGAATGGAGGTTGCCGAAGGCTGTGTCTGACCGGTCGTTCATATGGACGTAAGGGAGGGAGGCGAGGGCGCCACTTCATGCCCATTGGTTTTCGGGACGAGATCAAGCAAACAAATTAACCTACCGTTTTCTCACACGTCTTGGTAGGTCTGTTGGTAAGCTCTTTTGCCATGATGAGTCAATTACTGGTCAATTACGCGCCCACACGAGCGACAATATCGCGCACTAACTCAATCTCTAGCATTAATACCCCGCGTTGTGGTAGGTAGATACACTCCGTGAATGGTCCATCTGAGATAAATGTTCGGACGAAGGGTTGACTTGACGTCAGCGAGTATATGCGCTTCGTGTGGTATCCACAAGCAGAAGGTCTCACTACAAGTCCTCGTCATCTGCTTCGGCCCATTCCACCGCTTCAGCTCCAGCTCTTTTTCTCTCTCCCTCTTCTCCTCTTCGTCTTCTCTTCACCGCCTCTTTCCACGTCACCATCATGATTCACCACTCGCCTTCTTCCGACCCGCTTTCAGCTCCCGAATCTCAGACACCGCCTGCCAAGCCTCCCAACCCGCATCACCAACAACATACTCCGAACCAACCAACCGGTAGATACCTGCCTATAATCCCCTCCCTCCAGAACCACCAACAACTCACCCAACGACCTCGAAATCTCTTCTCTCCCCCGCGGTCCCTCCAACCGGCTCACACTGAGCAAACATCGCCGCTCACGGCGTGGACCCTGGTATCCGGACTTGTGCAAGGCGAGCAGTTGCGGCCCCCACATCCATATTAGTAGGTGCGGTAAATTGGCAGACCGAGATGTCGAAGAGCACATTGTGAGGGACTAACGTGCCCACGGCGACGGTGATGCTGAGGGTGGTTGGGGGCCGATGAGGGTGGGTAGGCGTGATGTGGCTGTCGTATCCCCCTGCCCGAACGGCTATGGCGTTTAGGCGGTCAACGGTGTATCGAGCCAGAGTTGATGCCTCCAAGAGCCTTCCAGGTGTTACGGTATGTGGTCGTAGATATCGGGGATCTGTCCGCTGGGGGATGGATGCACCTGTGTCTCGCCCCGTTCCCGACTTTTCGACTCGTTTTGGATTCACGGTTTCTCTACTCCACTATCTCCCTTCACTTTCCTTCCTTTGATGCTAGTCGCCTCGCCCACGAGAAGCCAGAATGTTGCCAAGGTGTGAGCAGAGAGGATCAATGATAGGTCGACTTGGCAGACTTATCGGGATCAAGGTCAAATTCCTGGCATGATGCCGCCACCCACCATTAAAATACACCATGCGAGCCGTCTTGGGATAGCCAATAAGCTCTCAACCCGACATGGCGGATAGGGAATGGGGCTGTGACCAAGAAAAGAGCTTGGTGCATACCTCCCTACCTACATAACAGGGGTTCTAACATAGGTATACATTCGTCCAATAGTGGAAACTAAAAGGCATCTTAGAGAGAGTAATTAACCGGCTGTTAGTCTCAACTCCTTTATTTATCTAAAGTATAAAGTACATGAAAAAGCCCAACAATTATCCTCATCCTTTCCCTGGACTAGTACGACCCCCGTTCTCATCTAAGTGGCATTTCCTAACAGGGTCCAGGTTGTTGATGTCATCGCGCACTGCTATTTTCCTACATTACCCCTAAGCTGTCCGTGTCCTTTACCCCCAGTGTACCCGTTCCCCCTCATCCCGAGAAAAGAAACTCGCCTTCGGATGTTTGAAGGCCACCTACTTGACCAATGCACTAGTCAAGCCCGACCCCATGATCCCCTAAAGTCCTTGGCAAGATGCCAACATTGTCCCGACTACCACAGCTTGTCGTTGACCTTGAATCTAAAGATCAGGAGCAAGACAAAGCACCCCGCCACAATGCACAAGATGTACGCATTGCTCATAGAACCCACGACAATATCAATGACACGGGCCTGCAGGTCCGGCGGCATGTCGCGCAGCAACCGGCTGTTCGGCTCCGAGATGATGGTGTTGATATCGGCGATGCTCGCGTCGGGCAGCACACTCCCCAGCGCGGCGTGGGCCTTGTTGAGAAAGACGGCATTCGCTATCCCGAGCGAGATGGAGGGCCCGCCGAGCTGGCCAAAGGCCTGCCAGCCCGTGCTGCGGCCCACGTCCAGCGCCGTCTTGACCTTGATGGAGGCCACGGCAAAGGTGAGCTGGGTGGCGGCGCCGGAGCCGAGGCCGAGGAGGATCTGGTAGCCGTAGATGTTGGCGAGCGGCGTGTATTGGTTGACGGTGTAGAGCAGCGCCGAGCCTGAGATGCACAGCACGCCGGCGAAGAGGAACCAGGGGACGTGGTAGCCGGTTTTGCCGACGATGAAGCCCGCGGTGATGGCGATGGCGCTTTGTAAGACGACGTAGGGGAGGATGCGCACGCCGGCGAGGATGGGGGTGTCGGCCTTGACGAATTGGAAATAGAGCGGCAAGAAGTAGACGGGGACGAAGACGCAGGTGGCGCAGCAGGCGACTTCGAGGAAGAGCACGATCATGGTGGCCGACTTGAGGAAGTGCATCGGGAAGATGCGGTTCGTGGTATTGGTGAGGAAGGCAAAGTGCTGCTGGATCAGGAACACCCAGAGCAGCACGAAGGCGAGGACGAAAAGGGCAATGACTTGGCCAGAGTTCCAGGCATATTCGAGGCCGCCAAAGGTGATGGCCATGACGATGCAGACGATGAGGCCGATGACAAAAAGGTTGCCGAGGAAGTCGAAGCCGCGTAGCCGTTCCTTGATGCCTTTACCGGGGAGGGGGTTAAGGGCTGGAAGCAGGAAGATGTAGATGGGGGCGCAGACAGCACCGACCACAAGATTGCTAAGGGGAAAGTCAATATCTCGTAATCTCGGCTTCTCTGACGGGCTGCGGGAAGACTGGAGATTGTCATGTACTCACAAGTAAAAGGCCCAGCGCCAAGTTGCGCTGCTCCCTGCAAAACCACCGCCGATGATGGGGCCAAGCACAGTTCCGCCGCCAAAAGTAATGCCGACGAGGTTCAGATAAAGCGGCCGCTCCCGGTCCGAAGTCATCTTGGTCAGGATATCCATGGAACCGATGTACATGCCCGACCCTCCCATGCCGCAGATGGCACGTCCGACAATGAGAGCATCCATGGTAGGCGCAGCTCCGGCCACGGCGCAGCCAACGGAGAAGACGACAAAGCTTGCGCAAAAGGTCCATTTTGCGCTGAACCGCGCGTACATGTCTCCCCAGAAGAAATTGGCGCCCCAGGACGCGGCCAGGAAGGCGACGCCGAGCCAGGCGAGCTTGTCGAGCGAGTTGAACTGCCGGATGACGGCGGGCTGGATGTTGGCCGCGATGGTGTTGTCAGTCGCAAACAGGAAGTTGGCCATCAGAATGCTCCCGACGACCAGGACCCATACGATACCGTGAACTTCACGGGGGGGTGGCGGCGGCGCGCCATCGGTGGACTGGTCGGTGCTGGCGACAACGCCCCTTTCGGTCTCGGAATTATCTGGGGATGTTGTCAGGTCTGCGGGGACAGAATCCTTTTCTGCGAGTGTAGCCATGGCGAAAGCAGCGCTAGTTCAAGGTTGCTTTTTGCAGTCGGTTGAAGCTGGTTTCAAGGTGTTGATACCAGGGAACTGTCATGCACCGTCTTCAGCTGCCTTCGACTACCGGTGTGTTGAAGGGGAGAAGGATGGGCTTCGAGCTGGTTATCGTCATGGTATTACCCTCGCACAGGATTCCAAGGAGAAAACAGAGGTCCCGGACTTGTGACGGAGGTTTCTGGTCAAATTGTCCCCGGGTACGGTCTTGGTGAAGTTTTGTAAGCAAAGCCGAGTGTATTTTGCTTAGGCATCAAATGTCGGCCGAGAAATGTCGGTCGAAACAAAGCGCTGTGGCTCTGCCGCCGCGTGCGTGCTCTGCAATCAAACACCAACCATAACCCCGGCCAACCATTTGTTTAGGAGCGAACCAACAAGTAAACAGCTTGGGAAATCGGCGCCGGCATGGTGATATTTTCGTTCAATACTTTGGGTTTTTGATCGTTCTGTATGTACCATTTTGTAGTTGTCGATATCAATTCGCATTTGGACTCTCGTAACAAGGGGCTCCCCGAAAACCAGACTTGACAACAAAGGGGATTGTTGGCACATGTTAAACGGAAATAATCGGCGACATTGTGTAGCAGGTTGCATTACACCAATTCTTTTTCTACGGACTGATGACTGCGCTATGGCACTTCAGTTCCGTTCTAGATACACCTCCAGGAGACCCAATGCCCCATTGGCCCCATGGACCTTGCTCAGAACGTATCGCGGATCGGCCTCCTTCAACAGCGCCTTGAACTCGGATACCGTACGTTGCTTCGCCCCGTAACACACCAGCATGACCATGTCGGCCTGCCGTCTCTCCCGCTCCCAGAGCCGCGCTACCTCGGATCCCGGCTCCGGCATGATCATGTCGTTGATCAGCAGGGGTGTGCCCGGAGCTGACCCCTCGAGTCCGGGAACAATGGCCTTGAGAATCTTGACCACGTGATGGTCGGCCCAGTTGTGTGTACACTGGCGGATGAGATAGGCCGAGGCGCCCATGTACTGCTGGGGCTCGAAGAAGTTGGCGTGCGTGAACGAGATGCGGCCTCGGACCGAGTCGCTGAGCATTCGTGGGCCCAAGGCGAGCATGGCCGCGTCGCCGTCTTGTACCGCAATATTCAGCTTGGGGAAATATTTGGCCAGCTCGATGGCGACGTGGCCGCTGCCACCACCGATATCGACGACAGTCCCTTTCAGGTCTCCCCACGGGTAGCTGTCTCGCAGTTCGTTTATGTTGGAGGTCACTTTGCGCTGTTAAGATACATAGGTCTTTGCCGAGGGTCGCTTCCGCCCCCATCACCTCTCTGGCTACATTGGATTAGGGAGACTTACATTTTCTCCACCCGGCCATTGCCTTGGCGAAGCGACCAGCGTGTTCGGGGTGTTTCCTGTAGTAATCGAAGATGGGGATGCCAAACCGCTCGTAGAAGGGGCAGTGCACACTGTCCGCCTCATACGGGTCGGCCTTGATGGCGTCGCTCGACTGGGCGGACGCTTTAAGCATCTCGTCAAAGCTACGGCAAGTTAATATTAGTTCTTTCCCAGGGCCATAGTGATGGAGGCTAGTGTTATGGAAAGCAGAACTCACGAGTAGTGCACCATAGACTTCATCTCTTCATCTCTGTGCAGGGCAATGGAGAACGCATTGTGGCCAAAGAAGCCTGGCCGAGTTTCTTGAAAGACACGCTGGGTGATCAACATCCGAATGACGCGGTTGGCCCGGTCCTGATCCAAACCAGCCTTGTTGGCAAGGTCAGCCAGAGAAATGTCGCCTTCAGCCGGAACCACGGTGAAGAAGTCAAAAGCCAGAGCGATTTGGAAGGCCGCTATCTCATAGCCAGAGACCAAGAAGTACCGGTAGAATCTTGAGGGCCCATCCACTAGGAGTTGCAAATCCTCAAGCTGTGTCTTCAGACGGTTCTGAAGCTGCTGAAAGTCCGGGGTCGTCGGCAGCGGTTCCGCCGTCGCTGAGAAGGTCGGCAGGGGTGCATTGGATGCTTTGAGGTAGCTTATTACTTTCTTTGTATCCTCCAAGATGCCCTCAGCCAGGGTCAAGATGGAAGCTTCATCGTGTTTGGCAATAGAACCCATGGTGTCAAGCCAAGTATTGTCGTTTTAGTTTTTCTAGCAAACCTGGTGGTAGAAAGGGCAGGTATGGATAATGGAACAAGATAGGGACCGGCTGAATGGCTTATACGTCTAAAGCGGTAGGCAGGAAGACATCTTATTATCATCGACTAAAAAGGTCTCCCACCGCAGTGCCGGATAAGAGTGAAGTCTCGTAAGCCGAAAAATGTCGGATTTCATATGTCTTCATCGGGCATGGCGGCGAGATAAACTCACAACAGTCATCATAACCATTTAGGTAGTATCGTCGGCAAAGTGGGATAAGAAGCTTGGAGGATTATCCCCTCCGGATCGGTATCGGTCGGCCGACATATGCGTCAAATCGGTCTGACGTCTAGGAGCCAAGAACAACGGCCACGTACGGGCATGAGGTGATCTGGTTCCGGTCCGGTATACCACTATAGGGAACTGTGCACGGCACAAGCCAAATTGAACTCTAGTAACTCTAGTTGAGAATACATACAAGTCCGGGCTCGCTCCCATCCAAGTTTCCAACTGGGGGCATCAAAGACTCACCAGTCCTCACAACATTACACGCTTCAACAACCTCACCTCAAACTAGAGTCTCATTTACACACGCAGCTCCGGTTGCACATCAGGACTTTGACCATCTTTCTTCAACCAAGATGACTGTTCCTTCGATCTTGGAGGGAGATCATGAGCCGGTGGCTATAGTTGGCATGGGTGAGGCGGCCCTTACTCCCTTTCCCGCGCCAAGTGTACTGTACTAAGCATTGCTCGTGTCATTAAATAGGTTGTAGGTGGGCTGGCGGCGTAAAGGATTCTCCATCCCTCTGGGAGTTGCTACGAAACAAGCAGGATGGATGGAGAGAGTTCAGCGAGCCGCGCTTTCCGGCCACCGGCTTCTACCACCCAAACCAAGACAGGCCGGGGTCTGTCAGGCAACAGGGCGGGTTTCTTTGCGATGAAGACCCGAGGTTATTCGACCATGCGTTCTTCAACATGATGGGCCGTGAGGTTGAAACGATGGATCCCAACCAGCGCAAGCTCCTTGAAGTTGGTAAGTGACAAACTTTGAGAATATTAGCGACGTGAACTATTGGGATTTGAGAGACTAACGCACCGTGTCTACTATGATAGTCTACGAGGCTTTTGAGAACGCCGGGGAGACTTGGGAAAGCATTTCGGGGTCAAGAACCGGTGTCTATATCGGCAACTTTGCCCTGGACCATCTTCTAATCCAGGCGCGCGAGTGGGACTATACCAAGCCCTACGCGTCCACAGGCGCCGAGACGAGTATTCTTGCCAACCGTCTAAGTTACGTCTTCAACCTCCAGGGACCGAGTCTTGCAACCAATACCGCGTGCTCGTCGTCTATGTACGCATTGCATCTGGCTGTGAGCGCCATCCGTAGCGGCGACTGCGACGGGGCTATTGTGGCCGCCGCCAACTGGATTAGCGACCCGAGCATGCAGATTGTGCTCGACAAGCTGGGCGCCCTGTCGCCGACGTCGCGGTGCCACACTTTCGATTCCGCTGCCGACGGATATGCCCGCGGTGAAGGGTTTTGCGCTATCTACCTCAAGAAGTCATCACTGGCCCTCTTGGAAGAGCTGCCCATCCGCGCTATGATTCGCGGCACCGCCGCTAATGCCAACGGCAGAACGGGCGGTATTACTCGGCCCAGCGCGAGGGGCCAAGAAGATTGTATCCGTGAGGCTTACAGAAATGCCGGTAACCTCCCCTTTGGAGACACCGCTTTCTTTGAGTGCCACGGAACTGGTACTCCGGCGGGCGACCCCCTCGAAGTGTCAGCCGTCGGAAACGTGTTTGCGCCATGGAAGAAGTCGGATGCTCCCGAAGACCGCCTCTTGATCGGATCTATCAAGCCTAATCTCGGGCACACTGAGGGAGCAAGCGCGCTTGCTTCCATAATGAAGGTTGTTCTGTCCCTCGAGGCTGGAGAAATCCCGCCTACGTTTGGTGTCAATAACCTCAACCCAGACATCGACTTTGACGGAGCGAACGTGACCGTCGTGAAGGATGGGCCGGTGCCGTGGCCCAAGGGCAAGCTCCGCCGTGCAAGCGTGAACTCGTTCGGTTTCGGTGGTGCTAATGGCCACTGCATCATCGACCAGGTTAACGAGGTGTTGCCGGGCTATGTGAAACCGGGTGTTATCAAGGCGGTCCCCTCCATCCCGGAAGGGTTGAACGGCCATTCTAACGGCCATTCTAATGGTGCGAGCCAGAATGGTCACGCCAACGGTCATTCCAACGGTCACTCGAATGATACGAGTCAGAATGGCCACTCCAACGGAGACTCGAACGGCCACTCCAATGGCGACTCCAACAGCTATTCTAACGGCCCTTCCAATGGTTACTCAAATGGCCACTCTAATGGTGTGTCCAACGGTTCTTCTAACGGTTCGTCTAACGGCTCGTCCAACGGCCTCAACGGCAACGGTCACCATGATACAAATGGCAACGGTAGCACGGATTTCACCACCTCGCTACCGCATCACTCGGCCCTCAGCTCAGCAGTGACCAAGGCGCCCAGTGCAACTGCATCAACGCGACCGTGGGTGGTGCTCCCTTTCTCAGCACACAACGTGACGTCCCTCGAACACAATATCAACGCCCTGTCCAAGGTCGCCGACCAGTTCAGCCTCGCTGATATTGCTTACACGCTGAGCGCCAAGCGTTCCCGCCTCCAACAGCGGACCTTCGCCGTCGTGGAGAGCGACGGGGTTGCTTCGGGGCTCGAGTTCACACCCAGCCAGCGTGTCTTCGCAAGCCCCCTCCAGGCCAGCACCATCGGCTATGTCTTCACCGGCCAGGGCGCGCAATGGCATGCCATGGGTGCTCAGCTTTTCGAGTTCGGCGTGTTCCAAAACACAATATCTTTCCTCGACCACGTCCTCGAGCAGCTACCCAACCCTCCCACGTGGACCATCGCCGCCACCCTCTTGGGTGAGTATGAGCCAGAACGTATTCAGTCTCCTCAGGTATCACAGGTCGTGTGCACTGCGGTTCAGATAGGGATTGTCGATCTTTTGGCTTCGTGGTCAGTCCGCCCTGCCGCCGTGGTCGGACACTCCTCGGGCGAGATGGCTGCTGCATATGCTTCTGGCCATCTCACAGCAGCTCAGGCCATCTCGGCTGCCTATTTCCGCGGCCAGGCTCTCGTCAAGAACACCAGGAAAGGAGCCATGTTGGCCGTCGGTCTGGGCGTGGAACAGGTGTCTAGCTATCTCAAAGGCAGGGAAGAACAGGTCGTCGTCGCGGCCATCAACTCCCCCGGCAGTGTTACGCTCTCGGGTGACGCTGATGCCGTGAAGGAGCTCTCGGATGTGTTAACCCAGGATAATGTCTTCAACCGGATACTGCGCACATCGGGCAGCGCCTATCACTCGCACCACATGTTGGCCGTGGGCGGCGAGTACCTTAACATGCTCGAGCGCGGCGAGGAGCGTCTCCGGGAGCTCGAGCTGGTCGACGAAGCGGCGAGGTATCCCAAGATTCCGTGGGCTTCTTCGGTGCACCCGGATAAGGTTGTCGGTGATGGAGAGTTGAAATCCCATTACTGGAGGGAGAACCTGCAGTCGCCCGTGTGGTTCTTGCAAGCCGTCACCAAAATGATGACTCCGGAGAGTATTGGTGGTGTGACAGTCAACACCATGCTCGAGATTGGACCCCACGCTGCTTTAAAAGGCCCCGTGGAGCAGATTCTGAAGAGCATCGGCAAGCCTGCCACCTACGTGCCATCGTTGCTCAGAAATGAGGACGGTGTCAAGTCACTGTTGCAGCTTGCCGGAACTCTGTTCGCTATCAATGCGGATATCGACATGGCCGCCGTCAATGCCGTCGACTCCCATGCCGTCGATGGCAAGCCAGCCTTGGAACATGGTTGCCTTGCGGTCGACCTGCCGGCTTACCAGTACACCTATGGACCGGTTAGTTACTACGAGAGCAGAATCAGCAAGGAGTATCGCATCCGGGACTTCCTCAGACATGACCTCCTGGGCTCCGAGGTTCTGGGGTCTGGTAAGCTTCAGCCCCAGTGGAGGAATGTTCTTCGGGCCAAGGATCTCCCGTGGCTAAGCGACCACCGCCTGGCGCCGGATGCCGTCTTCCCTGCTGCTGGCTTTATTGCGGTGGGAGTTGAGGCTGCCACAAGAGTGTACCGTGGTCTGCCAGATGCTTTAGAAATCACTGGCTATTCTTTCAGAAACGTCGATATCGACACCGCCCTGAGGATCCCAGAGGATGATTACGGCGTCGAAGTCATCATCAGCTTGGATGTAGTGGATACGTCAACGGCAAAGTCACCCGCATGGGCCAAGTTCACCGTCACGTCGGTCACTCGAGACTCGAGTGAATGGACACAGCATTGCACAGGCTTGGTCAGGGTCGAGGTGTCTTCGCCGGCACAACGGGCCAAGATCAGCACCGAGATGGACCCGCGGTTCCCTAGCACCCAGTCGTGGTACGACAAGTTCCAGCAAATTGGGCTCGAGTACCGTACGACGTTCCAGCCCCTCTCGAATCTCCAGGTGGACCCCCATCGGAACCTGGCCACGGCCACGGTAGCGTTGAACACGACCGCGGGCTCAGTGAAAGAGGGCGAGTCGAGCTACACTCTGCACCCGGCCGCTCTGGACGCCGCTTTCCAGTTGGCCATCATCGCCTTCCACGGTGGCGAGCTGGAGAAGGCGTCTGCGGTGTTTGTACCGGTTCATCTGTCGCAGCTGTACTTGAAGGCTGGTCTTCAGTGGGAGGAATCAGCCAGCGCCATTGCCCGGGGTTCGATCCAAGGTCTCCGAAGTGCCCAGGCACAGTTGCAGATGCTAGACACGCGCGGCGATGTCTTCCTCGAAGTGGATTCCATGCGCTTCACTACCTTCAAAGAGACCAAGACGGATGAAGCCCAGTCCAAGCTCCCCTTCAGCAGCCCCTTTACCAGGCTGGAATGGAGGCCCGACATCCGCACGCTCACCAATGAGCAAGCACGCAAACTGTTCCCGCCGCCCGCCGAAAACGCACAGATGGCCGCCGACCTTGAGGTCCTCGAGATGATCTGCTCCCTCGTCGCCTTCGACATCTACGACACCTTCGTAACGGGCAGCGATGCGGACAAGGCCTCGCCCAAAGGCGACATCCGACACTGGCTCGCTTGGATCAAGACCCTCGTCGAGACCGACCAGCGAGAGCAGGTCGTCGAAGCGCGCAAGCTCTCCCCCTCCGAGCGCCGCTCCACACTCGAACAGCTCTACCTCCAAGTCGGCGACCGCCCCGAGGCCCAAGCGGCGCGCCTGCTGCACGAAAACGCCGCCGACATCCTCCACGAACGGCGCACCGGCATCGACGTGCTCATCTCCCACAAGCTCCTGACCCCCCTTTACGAAGTCGGCACAGCCATCGCCGGCTCCCACCCGCAGGTAGCCAACATCATCGCGTCACTCGCGCACGCCAACCCGCACGCGCGGATCCTCGAAATCGGCGCGGGCACGGGGTCCGCCACGCGCGGCGCCATGCGCGTCCTGACGGGCCCCAACGGCATCAAGCGCTACGCCGACTACACCTTCACCGACATCTCGGCGGGCTTCCTGACCAGCGCCAAGGAGATGCTGGCGGCCCACCGCGACGTGAACTACTCGGTGCTGGACATCGAGCAGGACCCTATGAAGCATGGCTACGAGCCCGTGTATGATGTGGTGCTGGCGTGCGAGGCGATCCATGCGACGGCCAGTATGGAGCGCACGCTGGCGCATTGTCGGAGTTTGTTGAAGCCCGGGGGCGTGTTGGTCCTGGCGGAGACGACGCGCATGCGGGTGTTGCTGGGGCTGTTGTATGGCACGCTGACGGGGTACTGGAATCATGAGGATCCGAGGACGGAGGGGCCGTTTATGGGACTGGATATTTGGGAGCCGCAGCTGAGGCAGGCGGGGTTTTCGGGGGTCGATCTGCATATTGATGATTATGAGGCTCCTCATGCGACGACGTCGGTGCTGGTGACGAGGCGTGTGGACAAGCCTGGCGAAGAGGCGGCAGTGAACGGGAAGGAGGAGGAGAAGGAAGAGGGGGTGATCTACCTTCTCCATGATGGTCAAGATACGCTGGGTGTGTTGGGACAACAGCTTGTGGCAGAGTTTGCAGGGCGTGGTGTTGCCAGCAAAGCCTTGGCCCTGGATAACGCCGCGGCCGATGATGCGGTGCCGCCCAATGCTCGTGTCGTCGCCCTCTTGAGCGAAAAGAACGATCTGTTCGATACTGAGGATGCCCGCCGTTTCGAGGCCTTCCAGCATGTTGCCCGGAACGCCAACAGCATGGTCTGGCTCACGTCCGGCGGCATCATCAAAGGGCAGGATCCCCGCGGTGCGTTCATGACCGGCCTTCACCGGGTTCTGGCCACGGAGAACCCGGCCGGACGCTTCCTCTCCATCAACATCGAGGGGAGCGGATTTGAGAACACTGATGACAACCTTGTACGCACCATCGTCGACAATGAGCTCTCGCTACAACATGCCCAGGACTCGGAAGAGGCGAGCGTGGACTCCGAGTTTGCGTGGCAGGACGGCTGTATGTGGGTGAGCCGAGTTATTCCTGATGCAGGACTCGGCGACTACTCGGACACGACCAAGGTGCCATCCCACCAAAGGATTCGACATGCGTTCCCTAGAATCTCTGGGCGCCAAAAGACCCGTTCGCGCGGCGTTTGAGACAGCAGGTGTTGTAAATTCTCTGTACTTCCGCTCCAACACCGAGCTGCTGCGACCCCTTGAGGCCGACCAGATTGAAGTTCAGGTTGCCGCCGCGGGGCTGAGCTGGAAAGACATTTCGGTTGCCTCCGGGCGCGAGGGTGCAACCCGGTACCTCTCGGCTGAATATGCCGGCATTGTGACCAAGGTCGGGTCTGGTGTGGCCGGACTATCTGTTGGTGACCGTGTCTACGGCATAGGCAAGGGCCACTTTGGGACCTATGAGAGAGTGCCCGCCGCCCTTGCGCAACGGCTTCAGCCGGCGGACAATCTGGTCGAAGCTGCAACAATGCCTATCGACTTCGCCTCGGCCCTCTATGCTTTTGACTACGTCACCCGGGTCCGGAAGGTTCACAGCATCCTCGTCCAATCCGCCGCCGAGGGGCTGGGGCTCGCAGCGATACAAGTCGCGCGGTCCAAGGGGGCTAACGTCTTTGCCATTGCCCGAGATGCGGACGAAGCGGCTTTCCTAGCCGATACCGCCGGGGTTCAACGGGATCACATCATCATATCGTCCTCTGACAACCTGGAAGCCCTAACCAACGCTGCCAGAGCGACGAGTAAGGGCGGATTCGATGTGGTTGTCAGCATCCTAGCGCGGCCGAAGAGAATCGTGACTCTCTCCACCAGCTCATAAAAGCCGTTGCACCCATGGGCCACCTCATTGATATAGGCGGCCGGCTGCTCAACGCGCTCGACTCCAAGGCATCGGAGAAGCTCGACATGCTCCGCAACAACACCAACTTCTCGTCCTTTGACATCGGTGAAATCCTAGACAACGATCCTAAACTCGGTGCGGAATTGATGAAGAAAGTACACTGGCTGTACCAAGCCGGTCAAATCTCGCCCGCTACACCGGTGTCCGTGACGTCCGTCGCGGAGCTCGACCAGACCTTGCTCGCCCTATCCAAGGGTACGCACACCGGCAAGACGGTGGTCTCGTACCAGAACCCTAACGCAGCCGTCAAGCTGCTTCGGGAGCCACAACCGGCGACTTTTGACTCCGAAGCACTGTACATCGTCACAGGCGGGCTGGGCGGACTCGGTCGCAGCATCATTCGTTGGATGGCTGACCGCGGTGCGCGCCACTTTGTTACCCTCTCCAGGCGGGGTGCCGCAGCCCGCAGTCTGCCAGCAGCAAAGCTCCTGCTCGACGACATGGAAGCCCAAGGCGTCGGCCTAGAAACCATCGGGTGCGACGTAAGCCGCAAGGAAGAGGTGATCCAGGCCATCTCCCAAATCACGACCTCCACCCAGCGCCCCATCAAAGGTGTCGTCCACGCGGTGCTCTCTCTCTCCGACCTGTCCTTCGATAAACTCACCCTCGACCGCTGGCGCAGCGGCACGGTAGCCAAGACCCTCGGCTCCATCAACCTCCACGAAGCCACGCTCTCCTCCCCCCTCGACTTCTTCGTCATGCTCACCAGCACGGAAACCATCTGGGCACCACCCACCCAAGCCGCCTACATCGCAGCCGACAACTTCGCGACCTACTTCGCGCGCTTCCGACGCAGCCAAGGCCTGCCCGCCTCCACAGTCTCCTACGGCTTCGTGCACGACCTCGGGTCCGACTACCGGGCGACCTCGCACGGCACCGAAGACATGTACGCGCGCAACCTGGCCGCTACCATGACGGAGCACCAGGCGCTGGCCACGCTCGAACCGGCCTTCGTCTCCCAACACGACCAAGACCAAGCCAACAGCTGGGCCGCCACACACCCGCACGACCCGCTCTCGGCGGCGACCTACTTCACGTGCCTCAGCCCGCTGGAGCTGGCGGGCAAGACGGCGAGCCACGTACCGCGGTGGCACCGGGACGGGCGGGTGGGGCTGCTGATGCGGGCGGTGGCGGACGCGCAGCGGCACGCGGACAGCAGTAGCGCGGCGGGGGGTGGGGAGGGCGGGGGATCATGGTGAGAGCGCGATGCTCAGGCGACGGCGGGCGTTTGATGAGGCGGTGAATGTGGGGCCGGAGGGGAGGGAGGCGGCGGTGGCGTTGGTTACGGAGGGGGTGTGCGATGCGATTGCGGAGATGTTGTTTATTGATGTAGCGAATGTGAATCCGGGGAAGAGTGTGGCCGAACATGGCGTGGATAGTTTGATTGCTGCGGAGCTGCGGAATTGGTTCTTGCAGGCGCTGAGGGCGGATATGAGGAATTTGCTGGATTCGACGACAAGTATTAAGGGGTTGGCGGAGGGGATTGTTGACAAAGCGTTGGAGGGGTGAGAGGGATGAGATGAGGTTGGGATCAATTGGATGAGATTGGGATGATGGGTTTCATGTGTATTTCTTTTTCTTTATGTCTTCGGTCGTACATTGGGTAGAAGAGCAGCCAAGGAAACTGGAAATTTAGCAAGAATTACTCGTGTCGTGGCATAGACTGAGGTAAATATTCAATTTCTATAACTTTGGGTCCGTCGAATAAGATTGCTCTCTTCCTGCTCTGACCTCCCTCTTTCATAATGTTCTCCAGTCTACTACGATATCGCCCTTTAACAAGCCAAACTCTCCTTTAGGCTGGCGGAAAGATCGGGTTATACCACGAAAACTTGTTCTCGGGGTCGTACTGACGCTTCAGCTTGCGCAGCTTCTCCAGCCGCCACGGTTCATAACCGTACCTGGCTTCGAGAGACTCGTACCCCGCGGCGTAGTTCACGTAGGTTGTAGGACGCCTCGCGGGTTGCCCCCCGTACCACAATGCTACGGTCTGATCACGCCACTTTCTGGCAAAGGGGATCAGAGGATCATCCGTGGAGTCAAACCTGGTATCGAAATATCTGTCCAGTGGTTGTCAGCCTCCGAACCATTGACTTGATCAATTCCTTGTGTCTTGCACTCACGTCAAAATATGTTCATCGCGTAAAGGGTAAGCCGAGTCCTCAGAGCGGCGACTAAGAACGCCTTTAACCGAATAACCCTCCACCAAGACTCGAGTATGTCCTAGCCTGGGATGTTGGCGAATCTTCTGGTTGTAAAGATCGTAAATGGAGCGCATGGCGGTCTTGTTGTAGGTCTGGAGGTTGGATGTCCCAATGACATGAGTCTTGTTCCCTTCGCACAACCAGCCGTCCATTCCTCCGCCGATGTATCCATTAACAACACTGTATGGAACGTTGGCAACATCCACTGACAACGGCCCGATGTCGTCGAAGGGCTTTAGCGCAGCGTGCCCATCCGCCTCTAGGCCACTGTACACGAAAGCCCAGTTGATGATGGCCTAGCTATGCTGTTAGATCACTGTAACTTCCTGGGGATGAAGATGTTCCATATTTTACCTCAGTCTTGCTCAAAGTTGTATTCATGGTGTAAAGGCCAAAGGAGCCCAGCCATGTGGGATCAAGCGTGCCGAGGCCCTGAAATTTGTTTATCCGATCAATCACAGCCTCGAGTGAGCGTCCAGCAAACTGGTATGTCTTGACCAGGTAGGTCTTGGACTTGTCCTCGGGAAAGACTTGAGACTCGTAGCTCGTGACAATGCCGAAGTTGTGGCCGGCGCCTCGCATGGCCCACCAAAGGTCCGGGTGGCTAGTCTCGTTGACTTGCACAGCGGTTCCGTTGGCCAATACAACGTTCAAGTTCACCAGCATGTCCATCGTCAACCCATGTTGACCTTGTTGCAGCCCATGGCCTCCTCCTAGGGCCGGGCCAATGACGCTCACGCATTCACAACCTCCGGTGCCTGTAGGCCCCAATCCCCAGTCAGACAGAGCCTCCCTCTCGCTCGGGGCGGGGATATTACCTGTCACAAATCCTTGCTCCCAGAGACCAACGATAACTTCGTGGCTGAATGCGCCGCCTTGAAAACGAGCTGTGGCGTTGTTCGGGTTGACTTCGAAAGCATTGAGGTCCCTCAGATCAATCTCAATACCTTGAAAGCGGCCAACACTTGTTGTCAAGGCGTGGCCACGGCTGACCGTGTAAAATGGAACACCAAGTTCATTCGCAAAGCGAACCTTGTATGGATCTGTCAGAAAATGTTGTCTGTTCCAGGGAAAGGTGGCTTACAATCTTTGCTACATCGTCTTCTGTTCCGGGACGCACGGAAAGGCAGACTGTAGGCTGAATTTGTTGCATGTACCTCTCCGTTGCGTCTACCCAATCCGCATCAGCTGGTCCCAAAATGGTGGCCTTCTTGGAGAGAACCGAGGCGAGCTGCTGTTGTGTCTGAGTGCTTGTAAAGCATTCCGCACGTTTATTGTTGGCTTGGGGCACCGGGAGCGTAGCCCCAGCCACGAAGGGCAAGGCGAGGGCGAGCCCACACAAGGCGATAGAAGAGGGCAACGGCATTGTGATGACGGCCAAAATGTCATGTGGAGGTGTCGATTTCCGCCGCGTACTCGGGACAGAGGAGAGACAACATGGGATGATGCATCTTTAAGTATGTCATATGCGCGTTGCAAGGATTGTGAGCGCTTACTGTGTCTACTACACCTTATTTCTTCTAGAAAAAAGTCTTCGACCGAGAAATGCCGGCCATGAGTGGAGGAATGGCGGCGATGTTGTGCGGCGCAGCCCGGTCAAGATAACGTTAGCAGGATGGCCGAGGGTCATCCCATGTCCCTTGGGCACTTCGGGTCCAAAGATCAGATGTTTTACCCTTGCTTTGACCCTTGCTTACATTTGGATGGATTGTCTTCGGCCGATGGTGATCCTTCCGGAGACCACGGGACGTACGTTCACCAGGGTGACCGCGGCACCGTCTAGGCGGTAACCAATCACGCCAGGACCGTTAGTCCACATCTCTGCAAAGGCGAGGGTATCACGAAGTCCACGCGAGGACAAAAAGGACCGCCCTTGAGAAAAATGACACCTCACCGCAAGACTTAAGCATTCTCAAATGTCGAAAGCTGAAGTCCTCTATTATTGGACCCTTGCCTTCTGGGCTTCCGAATATGTAAGTACTCATATCTTTACATCACGTATGCACAGGTCTCGTTACGGCCATATTTAGACTTCTAGTGTTTTGATGCTCTGGTTGTATTGCGTGTAATACAAGTACATAGCCTACCTACCTTATTTCATGACTGGCGACTAGCCTTGACCAACAACCCGGGACACGCTTCAGGACCAACAGAAGAAGCTAGGGGTTAGTATTCGGTGAAAGGGACTGTTTGACTATTATAAGGTTTGACTTGTGAAACAGGCAGTCAAGGGGCCATGCTATTCAGTTGCATTCAACGCGGAGATCCACCTCTCAGAGTCACCCTCTAAATTACCAACGTGGGTGCACTCGCATGCACAACTGTTCACGTGCCGCTCCGCTGAGACATCGCTTGTCTGTCTGGAAACAACCTTCATTGGTTTACTGTGTCGATCACCTCCTAGAACTATGGTACTTGAAGCGTTCCGAGAATCGAGTGATATATGTGGCCAGGGGCTGGGCATCACAGGACAACCGCAGCGGCAGGCGAGCAATTACGCCATGCTATGGATGCATGTAAATATAACAGCAACAGAAAGATATTAAATCCGCGCTATCTACAGTTAATGGTATACAGAGCTTCCACCCGAATGTTGAAATAAGGCAATTGCCATGACGATGAGATCTGCTATTATAACGTGGCGTCTCAAGGACAGCTAGCAGATGGACATACGGCTCATCTCATGAAATCGAAGCTCTTTCCTACTCTCAAATAATTTACGCACCCGGTGCTTGGACCTTGTAAGGGGTTATCTTCCTCATGCGTGCAAAGGCCTTGATCGGCTGGCGCGAGATGCCATCCAACCCAGCATAACCTCCCAGCTCCTCCGGTATCTCCAACATCTCCAACTCCCACACCACCAACGCAATGACCGTCCTGACCGCCAGCTGCGCCAGCCTCCGACCCCAGCACTGTCGCGGCCCCATTCCAAACCCGAGCTGCGGGCCAGCAGTCGCATCAAAATCATACCCCCCATCCTCTCTCGTCACAAGCCAGCGCTCGGGCTCAAAAAGCTTCAGGTCTCGCGACTCGTCCCACACACCCCAGCGCTTGCCGGCCTTGGAGGACGGGCTCCCGCTTAGACTCGTCCACGGGAACAGACGGCCCCCCTCAATGCCCGGCCCCGCGCTGAGCATAAAACACTGGCTGCCTTCGGGACCCGGTGGCCCAGGATATCCAGATCATGCGCCGCTTCACGAACAATAACAAAGGGCGTCAAGCGGCGAGATTCCTCAATGACAGCATCCCAGGTAGGGCAGCCTCGCCTGGCGCAGCTCCTCAAACGTCGGGGGCCGCTCCTCGTGAACAGCCTGCGGGAAGGTGGCGTACAGCTCCTCGCGGAGCCCGGTGTTGGGTGTGCTGGTAGCCGGTGAGGTACTTGATCAGCCCAGGTCATGGCGCTGCTGGTGGTGTGGTGGCCGGGTCATGGGGTCGGCAAACATCTCGTCCGACAGCTCGCGGGTGACAAGCTGGGCCTCGCGGCCCTGCTTCTCGGCCAGGGCCAGCTCGCGCATCATCATGTGCTCGAGGGCGGACTCGGCCCTGCCCGCGCGGACATTGGCGGCGGCCTTGCGCAGCAGGCCGCCCATGACGTTGTGCCGTTCTTCGACCATGTGCTTGTACCATTTTTGTTTGGACCACCACCAATGGCTGAGGCGTGGTGTTGGTGAAATGGTGGTGCGTTCCATGACTTCGGCCGTTTCGTGGAGGAGCTCGAAAAAGAAACTTTGGGGCGCGTCCGGAAACTCCACGGGTTCGTCCTTGCCTCCTTTGGGTATCGAGGACGGCGTCATTTTGGTGATGAGTTCCAGTTGGGGCTCCATTGCCGAATCCTCGTGCTCCTCGCCGAATGCGTGGTGGAGCATGATGTCGAGGACAACACGGGCGAAGTCCTTTTGCATGCGAAACGGTCGACCATTGGCAAGCTCTGCCTTCGCCTTGAAGAGCTCAACGATCTGGAGCCCCTTGGTATGCGCAAATGGGCCAATGTAGCCGTGGAGGAATTTGGGCGCCATCAGATCTTGCCTGATCTGGCGGCTGGCCTTGAATCTGGGGTCATTCGTCTTGAACCTGGCGTGGAAACCGCCCAGCGCAGCCAGACCGTCGATCAAGAACTGGGGCTTCTCAAAGTCGGTTCGCCTCATGAGAATATCTTGCGCCTCGTGAAAATCTCCCACCAAGATCCACGGTTTTGAGAAGGGGTGTATGAAGGCCTGGGCAACTGGAGATTGGTGCTTGAGGCAGAGCTCGCCCAACCACGAACTAAGTTCGCCATTCTGAGCAGCGTACCGGTTCCAGGCAGGTAGATCTCCCCATATTGTCTTGGTGGCTTCGACATTGTAAGGAATTCCAGGAACCGGTTTTGGTCGCAGCCAAAGATAAAACAGGTAAACCGCCACAGACAAGATGGTCGCTGTGCCGGCTACTGCCGTTACTAAGGGAGACCCCAGGGTCCCGCCAGCGTAGAATGGTAATGGCAACATTATGCCTTGGCCGAGCACCGTGTTTGACCACGAGGTGATGAAATTTGCGTACGAACTTCTCAAGATGGAGGACAGAAAGTGAACTCTGTCTAAAGCATGGGCCCCAGCTACACGTGGATGGGTATCATAGGATAACTGTAACCGCCCAGCCGACGCTACCACTGCTTACTAAATGCCTGCCTCCGGTGGACCGCAAAATACTAGCCTGAGAAACCCATAATCTATTGCCGATCACGAGTCCAAAACCCATCTTGTCCGCCGGGAAAGATGTTGAACGCCGAATGTCTGTGGCCGAAGATACTTCGACCGTTGATGTGAGCGCCTTTCTAAGCCGGCAAATGGTAGGTTGGCGAGCGATGGATGCCCTGATGTCCTGATGACAAACCACCAAAGTTGGACCGAAGATTGTCGGCCGACAATTGTCGGCGATAAAGAGACGCTAACCCCAGTCGCCGGCAAGCGGAGAGTGGGGCACACCGGCGGGTCCGGGATGCAAGGCACAAGCTTGGCATTTTGCCGTTTAAGGCAACTAAAAAGATGCCGAGATGGGACGGCCGAGATGGGACAAGGCCGAGATGGGACAAGGCCGAGATGGGACAAGGCCGAGATGGGACATGCCGAGGTGGGACATGCCCGAGAGGTCGATCCACAAAGATACCTGCATAATGTCACGGGTGAAATCGCGCTGATAATGCTCCTGGAGTTTGTCACTGCATGCTCTGATGCTTAGATAATAGTGAAACGCATCTGAAGGATGAAATAATACACAGAATGACAAACTAGGACGAGAAAAAGGGGGCTGAGGAATGTGGTGATAGTTTTATGCTGAGCTCGTCATCCAACCCGCTGGTTGTGCGTGCTATGCCGTATATGGTTATCCAACACTCAGCTGTCTCCAAGTCAGGGCGATGGCTTTAGCAGGGCGCTACAGCCTTCGTCGCTTGAAACGGATGCAACCAACCATGAACCAACCGACCGAACTTACCGACCGACCGACCAACAAGCTGAACCTCACCGATCAAAGATGGGCTCGAAAAAGGTAACTGCGTGAATTACACGGCTTGAACAAGTCGCCGGTTCATGATCGGCCCCCAAGAACAAAATGTAGAAATACAAATAACTAACTAGAGAACGCTTTCCAATGATGTTGTCTAAGTAGTAGGCAATTACCCCTTTCGCCAGATCCAAGATCCCATGTTATGTTCCCAATGGTCGCGGTCTAAATGCCAAAGCTGTCAGTCAAATCCCCCAAGAGGTCAGCCCAGCCCGGGCTGACCCCAGCGCACATACTGCCAACAAAAGGGAAAGCTTGTTGAACGCCCGCTCCAGCTCCTCCTCCCGGGACACATTCCCTCATGGGCCACGCTCCCACTCCACCAGCCGAGATGGAACCCGCCATATCACCACCACCGCCCGGTCCGCCACCCAAATGATCCCCCCCACTCACATTCACATTCACACCACCCTCACCGCCCGCACCCGCACCACCACCGCCATAAACCTCCTGCGGACTCACACTCATCGGCGGCGTCAACGTGAGCCCATCCACCCTCGTAATCAGCCTCGCCAGCGTCTTGGCCCCAACCTCAGCCACCTCACTGACCTCCGACAACGCTTCTAACATCGCCAGCGCATCCCGCGCCGCCTGCACACACTCCCCGCGCGTGACCTTGCCGATGCGCGCCTCCAGCGGGTTGGCGCTGCGCCGCCCGCCTCCCATGCCCATGCCCATGCCCATACCGCCGGGCCCCGGGCCATGCTGGATGGTATCGCCGGGAAAGGTCGGGTCCGCGCACAAGCAGAGCAGGGGGACGGCCGCCTCAAAGGTGGGCACGATGATGCCCGAGAAGCGGGTATGGGAGCCGCCCATGAGGCGGTGCAGGGTGGAGACACACTGCAGGAGGCGGAGGGCGGCGGCGGCGAGGGCGCGCTTGCCGTGGGCCATCATGACCTGCTTGTAGAGCGGGAGGCGGGTGACCTGGTCGGGCTGCTGGAGGACGGTGGGTTTGAAGTTCCAGCAGAGCTGCTCGAAGATGGCGATGTGCAAGAGCTGGCGCTGCAGGACCAGCGTGGGCAGGTGCTCGTCCCATTGCGTGTCGGGCTCGAGCGCGAAGGCCGGCGGCATGGTCTGCAGGAAGGTGCTGCAGAATTCTTCGTAGACTTCCTCGGCCGCGATGACGTCCCACTCAGGGCTGCGCGGGAGGCGGTGGCAGCGCCAGAATTCGGCGAGCCGCGCGCGGAGGATGCGCTCGGTGAAGACGTTGGGCACGTCCGAGGTTTCGGAGTCAATTCCGATGCTGTCCGGGAGGAGGCGCATCCGGGGGAGGATGTCGGCGTTGAGGGTGTCTGGGAGGAAGGGGATGCGGTCGAGATGCCTCGCCAGGTAACTGTTCGTCAAAGGTAAGTCTTCTGTGCGCATCGACAGACGAAGAATGGAAACTGGAAACCACATACCTGTCCCAGATGTAGAGGTTGCAATATGTGCGCCGTGTCATTTCCTTGTCCATCTCGTCGGCGCTGCTGGCGGATATGACGGCATCCAGATGTAACCCAATGTGTTGCGCTACACGGCTAGCACAGCTGATCATCTCCCAGAAGCTATTCATATGGCCGATACTCCCCGCCGCGAGACCACCGTAAGCAATCTGCTGCACGCGAACCAGGGAGCCCCGCGGATACAGGCGGGAGCAGATGGGTCCCAGCACGTAGATGACATCCTCGCAGGACTTGCGAATCTGGGTAAGCGGCACCCCTTTGATACTGTCAATGGTGTAACTGGGTGATGGAAGAAACTGCGAGGCGTAGCAACATATCCTCAGAATAAGGATGAGAAATTCAATCTCGGCCACCGTCGAGACACTGTAGAGTTCCCACCACCGCTGGTACTGCCCGAGGAACCACGGCGGATATAAAAGTTGGTCGAGATGGTTGACCTCGGTGACAAAGTATCGTACCAGGAAGTCGATTATTCGACGGCTGGGCATCATTTCCAGCGTCTTGCGGACCTGTGCCTCCACCTCGCTGGGTACCGGCTTGTCTTTGAGATCGGCTCTGTCATCTTCGGGTGCCAGCTTCCGCACCAGTGCCATGGTGTTGCATTCGCTCCGGCCGTCATAGCCGAATGCCTCCGCCAGCGATGACCACCCGGACCTTTTCCAAGGCGTCCCGAATGTCCGTGGAGAATCGTCTTCCGGCTCGCCGTCGTGCATACTATCCTGCTTCTCCCCCTCGTAACGTTCAGCTACGATGTCAGACTGTCCATCTTCTTCCCTGCTCTTCTCTCGTGGTGTGACCGGGCTGGTTGTCTGTCTTTGAACCTGGAACGAATAATAGGCACACAACTCCGGTTGGCGCCGGCGGCTGCACCTGTTGCACGGGTATTGACGATCGCACTGCCCAGACGCGTCCCCGTTAGCGAAAGCGCGTTCCCCGTCGTCCCCAGTAAATTTCAAATCCACCGGTGGCTGGTACCTTTTGCTTCCTTGTGTGGCAAGGTATACAGGCTGACACTTCTCGTTTCCGCTTTCCTGAATGCATGGCGATTTACTGTGGACGGCAGTATGATGGCGACGCGGCGGCACGGTGGTCGGAGGTTGTCAAATGCCCAAATGGTGTAGTAGGACAAGAACTGGGTAACTTGGACTGTAACTTTAATGGTAACTGGAACGCGTAATACGCATGCACCCTGACTAATTCAATACCTCCATGATAAGGAAAGTAGGGTGGGCGAAGGTGGATTTTGATGCGAGATCTTAAAGGTGCAATTGTCATTACCCCGCGCTCCGCGATTTGTTCCGACGCGGAAATGCGCCTATGAGGCGCTGCTAACCTTGCAGCAACAGGACCTTCCTCGGAAGGTACCGAGGTACCTTTGCCGTGGATGGGCTCTGCTCTGCAGGGCTGACTGAGACAATGCCACCCACCGTGCTGCCAGACGGGAATTTGAGCGTATGTTGCCAACATGATTTGGAAGGCCGACTCCACTCCCCGATCTTTACAACCTTCCCAAAAAGACTTTCGAAATTCTAGACCGGCAAACGAAATGAATTTGTTAAGGTTACCTAGGTACAGTACGACTTTGGCCAGAATACCTGGCATCAGATTCTAGAAGGGTACAAGGACCGAGACCGAGCACGTGAGGGGGGGAGTTACACTGTTACAGGCCTTCCTTAACCCTAAAATCCGATGTTACATGTACATACATATCAACCGGGCATGCCGGGGTTAAGTTTGACAAGCATATTCGCCAACTCGTATACTCGATCGGCAACGGGAATACTACCCGTACCCGTCCATGCCGCACGCCACTTTGGCTCCTGCAATAGACTAAGCTCAATAAAGAATATAGATGATGCTCCTGAAACAACTCCCTCACCGCCTATCAACCTGTCACTGTACGTCCAGGGTTCTTTTTCTGCCCACTGAACTCAAGCAGAGCCGCTCAAATCCGCACAATCTTGGGCCAATTATTCCCGTAGAATCATCGGCGGACGACTGGAAGTAAAAAGCTTCCGGGTTTGAGTCGCTTGACTCCTGCATACCTCGTGCTACACAGCATACTCGGCATACAAATCCACGAGATACCTACCCGAACCAAGCCCCATTTTAACCCTAAGTGAATGTGGGGGGCCAAACTTGAAGGAAGCACGATCGTAGACGACGGGAACTAAAAAGGCTCGGAGCTTGACTTCCCCATACTCTATTTCCCCTGCTCTTTCCAAGCCACATTAGTGCACCTAACCGCTCAACGGCCCACTTGGTTGCAGACAGCTCGCACTCCAAATCCGATGTCTTGGCTTCGGTTTATACATGTGGGGGCAATGTGGGGGGAACAAAAGTCTAAAACGGTCCGGGACTTGACCTCTCCCTACCACCTGCCCATACCATGCCGTCCGACCCAGAAGCTGACGCCGAGGAAAACACAATTCCTGACCTGGATCGGCAAGCTTAACGGCCCTAACCATCCACAGACTGCCGCAACCCCACCTGGCAGTCACTTACATGTAACTTACCACCACGCCACCGCCAAATCCATCTTCTTCTCGGATAGTAGTTCCTGATCCTGTCTCTCACTATCCAGTCCGCATACCAACCAGCCCTTCTCCTGCCATATTCCCTCGGCCTTCTCCCTACCCATTGTATCGGAGTAGGCCATGACACTGATCGTATGCCGGTAGTCAATGTTGTGCGCTCCCTCGGCCTCCTCGCGGATATAGGCACTCGCGGTCTCGCCCTTTACCCCGAGGTGTGGTATGCGTGTCATCCGGGTCTCATGCAGCCCTTTCCGGCCATGCAGTTTGCGTCATCCGGGAAATCCGTTGCAGATTTCTAGTACCACGCTGACCAACTAGTGCAGCAAGGAGGCACATAGTTCCAGCATGCCGAGTCCGGCGCTTGTTTTCGATGGCCTGCGTGTCATTTATTCGGCGTGTCTTACTCAGGTAATGGGTAGGCTGGCCTAATATGGTAATTACTAGTTCGAATCCTTCGGCCCGTTCCCGCATCTGCGATCCGTTCGTCGGCGTCCGCCCTGGCACCCAGCAGTAGGACGCATTAGATATATGTAGGGCTCGGGACGTTAAAGCCAGACCACCTAAGGCTTATAAATTCTCCCAATCCGGTATCTCCCAGCGCCGCTAATTTGGGTAGTCATCCGTCTTCCCAATCTGGTCTACTGCAATCATGACTGCCTTTGAGAGCACAGCTACCAGCGACCAGGTGGTTGCCACCTTCGCTCCACAAGTCAAGGGCCGCACCTTTGTTATCACCGGCGCCGGCCACCCCAGCATCGGGAGCTCCATCGCCACGGCGCTTGCCAAAGCATCACCTGCTCACATCCTCATTGCCTCCCGCACCGCTACCAACGTCAACCCCGTCCTCGTCGCCATCCGCGACATCGACCCCTCTATCAAAACAACATTCATCCAGGTCGACCTATCCTATCATGCCTCAGTCCGGCGCGCCAGCAACGAGATCCTGGCCGCCACCGGCTCCAAGATCGACGTGCTCATCAACAGCGCCGGCAACATGGCCCTAAAGGAGTACACGGTCGACAAACAAGGCATCGAGCTCCAATTCTCCGTCAACCACCTCGGCCACTTCCTGCTCACCAACCTCCTGGTACCCGCACTCCTCTCCACCGCCACCACCGGCGCCACCACCACCACCACCAGCACGCGCGTCGTGAACCTCACCAGCGCCGGCTACCAAATCTCCCCCGTGCGCTACACGGACCCCTCCTTCTCCGCCGGCTCAACCTACGACCCCTGGTCGGGCTACGGGCAGGCCAAAACCGCGCAGATCCTGTTCGCGTACGGCCTGACGCAGCGGCTGGGTGGGCGCGGGGTCGTGGCGGTGGCGTGCCACCCGGGCTCGAACCTGGACACCAAGCTGGGCGCGCACCTGGTGATGGAGGACTACGCGGACGTGGGGCCGGTGACGCTGCGCAACACGGGAAGGGAGTTTGCGTTTGCGGTGGGGGATGAGCCGCGGTTTAAGACGTTTGAGCAGATTGGGGCGACGCCGTTGATCGCAGCGTTGGATCCGGAGGTGGGGGCGGGGGTGGAGGGGGCCGGGGTGATGGGGGTGCCAGTTTGTTATTTGCAGAATGGTCGGGTTATGCAGCCGGTGGTGGAGCATGCGTATGGGGAGGCGCATGTTGAGAAGTGCTGGGATCTGAGTGAGGAGTTGGTTGGTCAGCGGTTTGAGTATGGGGGTTGAGTTTGGTG